TTATATTTAGATTAAACAACTTCAAATGACTACACTTTTACCTTTCTCCAATTGTTCTTTCCCTTTAACTGATTTAATTTTTACTGATTTAATTTCTATTAGTCTCGATCGAGTTATATTAACATGGAAGAAATGATAATTTTTGCGATAAAGAATCGGATCGAATTATTATTGCCCACGAGGAATGAGTCGAGAAAAATCGAAACGAAATTTCGTATCGTAGAATCAAGAATTCGATGACTCGATATCGCGTGGAGATTAACATCCCTTCATATTACATTCAACCGGAATAATATGAAGCGATAACACCGTATTTCCCAACATCATACCACGATAACAAGCAGATATTTCACTCGTCTTCGATTTCCATCGCGGTTACGGCCACCACCCTCCGCTATCTCGCTTTCACAAGGGGATCGGATACAGGGATCCTTGCGAGAGGACCTAACACAGTTTGTATGCTTTATTGATCCGAGTACCCGATTAAATCGGCAGGGATTGGAATTGCGATTTGCGACGGTTGTCCTGATCGCCGTTTATCGGGACACGCGTTCGCGAAAGAAGAAAGGGAAGAGTGGAAACGATCTGAACGACTCTCGCGAATAAATTATTATAAAGAGAATTCGAGATATATTTTTTTACGCTTTGTTCGAATTTTTAAAATTTCTTGGAAAAATTTTTTGGAATCCAATTTTTTCTTTATTTTTTTGTATTATTAAAAAACAGAGAATAATTAAAATCTTGAATTAACTTTAATTAATAATAATTTTTAAAGCATTTGCCAAAGCATTTGCAGATATCTTTGATTAAAAGAAGAAATAATTTCGATTGTCAAAGATCTGTGCATCTGTGTATTCGTCTTATTTCTTCTAACCTTTAAGGGAACAACAAATTTTAATTATCTAATCTAAAAGTTTCGTAAAACTATCCCTTTGCACAACTTGCTCGATCCTCTCTCCCGATGTAAATTGTGAATCGTTTAACGAATTGACAATTTTATATTCGAGAAACTTCTCTAATCTCTACTCGTATTTCACGTTTTTCTTCTTCGTACGTCAAATGTTAATGGAATATCTCGCGAGAAAATGTGATTTGTCGAACAAGGCTCATCTCCTCAAAAAACACCCTTCGATCATTAATCGATTTTACGAGTTTGTTTATACGTTTGTAGGTCGACAAAGTTTCCAAAATCGGCGCTGATTAAGCTCGCCTCGATTTTTCAACGCTGGGCCGACAACAAAAGTGATAAAACGCAAAACTTATGCCCTGGCTTAACTCATTCGATCCGCTAATCTCCGAATTCCGTTCCACGCCGTCCGTCCACCCACTCGTTTTCTATTATTCACTCGCATTGTTGGATATTCTGGGTAATCCCGTTTACTTGGAAATCGCGACGATTTTTCAACGAGGCGATGCCCGATCACCACAACATTTGCAACGATTGCAAATTTCGGGGATGAAATACGAATAGTAAAAAAATTTATATATTATTATTATTATTATACATGTTTGATACCCAATTTGGTTTTTGAGACTCGAAAATTGGGTGACGATTATTTTCGATTGCGAAAAAATGGAAAATTTTTTGAGAAAAAGTCACGAATACTCCTCCATTTTTCGTTGTATCTGTGAACGTATTTAAATTGGAGATAGCTCTTTTCTTTTAATTACATTTACGGTTTTCTTACTTTTATAACGACACCGATATATTTGATGAAATATAATAATCAGAAATAGAAAATTATACAATTTTTCTTTATTTCAACATATTCTGAGGAGTGAAACGATCGAAGGAAATATTCTAATGATCAAAGATCAGTAAAGATTAAATAGATAACTCGAAATCCGAGTAATTACAAATTAATTAATAAAATTCTAGGTGCCAAAGTAATTAGACTCGATCAACCCTTCTCTCTCGAGTAATAAAAAATAAATGAACAAATGAAAGGAGAATAACAAGAAGACATTTAATTCTTCTTTGAAAAATCTCGTCCAAGTTTCGTTGAAATTCACGCGAGAAAGTAAGATTCCTCTCGAAAAAAGGGTAGAAAGAGGGAAAGATATCTCTCGTAAAATCCTCTTTGCTCCATCTAATCCAAAATAAAAAAAAAAAAAAAAAGGAAGGCGTTTCCTATTTGTAACGACGTTATCCTCCGATATCCACCATTCTCCACCTATCTGGTGTATCGGTTAAGGCTTAAGAATAAATTTAAGAGCTTTGGATTTGGCTGTAAAATATCGCCCCTTCCAAACGGATATTTATTGTGGCTACGTTCATCGAGTTAATAACGCGAGGGATAAGAAAAAATCGAAGCATCTCCTTCTCTCATTTGGATTCCTTGCATTTTTTCTTTTTTTTTCAATTATACCATCAATGCTAATAATCACGAAGAGATTTAAAATAAAATAAAGAACAAGAGCGATAAAAATTAACGATCTTGAAGAAAGAGGTAATTACCTTTCAAACAATCGATTATTAATTTCTTTTTCTCGATCCACAATGAGCAAAATTTTCGTTTCAGATAGATTTACACGCCAAACGAACCAACAGAAATAAAAAGAAGTTCAACGAAACTGGAAGATTCTTCTCGAAAGAGGGGGAAAATAATTCGAATTTTGCCTCTCCTTAATTTCAGAATTACTGAATCTCATATTTTCTCGACTGTTATACACCCGTTGATTAACTATACAGCCTCTCTCGGAACAGAATTTCAGTTTCGAGACAGAAATTAATTTACAGCGAAATTAAACGAAGTAAAAGAAAGAAAGAAAGAAAGAAAGAAAGAAAGAAAAAACGAACGGGATACAAATACAAATCAACGAGGTCGAAAATTCGATTGGTCGAGGAAGAAATACGCGATAATTCTCTCCTCTCCCTCTCCCCTCCCCTCCTCTCTTTAGATTCATCCCGAGTCGCATTTTGGCGGCCTGAAACGTTGCACGAAATGAAACGTGAAAAAACGTGAGGGGAGGGGGAGACTTAAAAGCATCTGAAACGCTTCGAAAAGCCCCGTTGAAGTGGCGTGCTTGATCGAATCAAGTTACGGATCTTCTTTATCCCCTCCTCCTGTTCGACGGCCGAACAGTAACGAGGAAAAAGAAATCCTTCCCTCAGAACTTTACCGAGGCTCGCTCCTTTTCCTTTTTCCGTTTCCTTTCACCTTTTTCCATCGGTAAATTCCCACATACAACAAATGGAACTTGTTAAGCCAGATATATGTACATACACACATGCGTGGAAAATTCGCCGCCTTTCATCGTAGCCTTTTCAAGGAATTATTCGATTGCTACTCGGGGAAGGAGGTTCGAATTTTGATCGAGGGTAATAGATTAATTTTCTTCTAAGGAGATTAAAGGAAGAGAGATTTATCGTATTTTTGATACATTGTGGTACGCGTGGATCTGGGTTGGTATACGGATTTATTTTTTATTTTATGAAGGGTGGAGATTTCTTATTCCATATGACGCGTACGTAAAAAAAAGAGTTTGTAAGAAATGTGGAAAATTACTTTTCTTTTGCATTCGATAAAAATTTTATTCGTTTTTGTATATACGAGAGTATATATTTCAAGTTTCGAGAAATTTTCAGCTGTTTTTTTTTTTTTTTTTTTTGTAAAAGTTAAAAATTCGATATCCGTCTTTTTCGATTTTTGGAATGGAGCGTTGTTGAAATTGTTTGCGTTTTTAATTTTTTTAAATTCGAATTCGAATTCGTTGTTTTCCGCGGAATTATTCGATTATTATGGATTTATCTTATGATTAATCACGTAAAATCATGTTGAATTATCGAATTTTTAATCCTCTTTATGGAAAAAATTATTATCCGATAATTTCGTTAAATTATCGGAATCATTCACCTTCGATTACGATTTTATAAAAACAAAAAAAAGCAAAAAAGAAAAAAAAAGGGGGATCGCAAGATAGAGATTAATAAAATTTGTGTTAAACGGGCATTTATCATTGGTCGAATAATAATACAAGAGCATAAAATGTTTATGCGCGTAGATTTCGCTTTTATTATCGAAAAATGATGTTAAGCCGCTGCATAGTCACGAGTCATTTCGTCATTCTTGGGACAAGCATGGCCCATAAACGCGTCGTAAAACTTTCAAACTTGTTCTATAACGAGATGTCAGCTTCCTTGAAACGAAGTAGGAAATTAAACAAAGTAATATCTTGTGGCGAAGTTGAACAAAAATAAATTAAACGCAACGGATGCTCGAAGAATATCTATTGCGTCTTTTGAATTCTGAGAAATTAGAAAAATAATATTATTATTGAAGCAACTAACTTCGCTTCCTATCTTTAAAGAATTCCATTTATATTCCATCTAATGAAGCGATGAATTATGAAAATAAAAAATTATATTGAAATATTCGCAATTGACGTAAAAACGAATTTCTAATATTTTCAATAAAATCTTGCTGTGTTAAATAAAATTCACAGGTCAATTATAGAATAATATTGTCGCAAAATAATCCGTTTAAAATGATTTTTAATGACTCATCTCGAAAATATTCACATCGTCCATAAATTTCTATCAAAATTAACCAAATTGAACTCTATAATAAACCATTCAATAATAAATCGATCCCATTTTTCCAAAGTTCAACTTCACCATCAAAATATACAATTATCCTATAAACCCTTCATACAACCTTATCAACATATATATATCTTCCAACAACGAAGATCTAGCCACTACAAAAATCCCACCCTGAATAATAAAACCAAACTCTCAAATCCTAACAATTAATTCCACTTAATCTTACCACATAAACTAACATTCTATCAAAGAGGACGGATAAAATCGAGTCACGTGATTACACGTGATTCATCGATCAAAAAATCACGCAAGAAGCATCTAATTCGCGATAATTATCACAACGTGATTCCATAATACTCGTGAACGTTGGCAAATGAAACGAAAGGTGTTAGATATTCAGAGTGAAAGGAGAAAATGGAGGAAAAATTGAAAAAGAAAAAAAAAAGAATCTCACCGAAAGAGATGAGGCCGCTGTTGAGCATCGAGAGCTTGATCTGGCTGGGAATGGAGGCGATGCTGTGGCCAGGATTAAGATGACGCTTCCTGGGCGGTTTCTCCGGCGCCCTGGGCGCGCTTCTGCTCCTGTGATGATGATGGTGCCTCCTGTGCGAGTGGGAATGGGAACCGGCGGCGGTCGAGGTGGCACCGGTCCGATCCGAACCGACGCTGCTCAACCCGAGGACACCGCCGCCGGTCGACTGCGTTCGCAGCGACGACATTTTCTGCGAAAACAAGGGGAATCGTTCGTTATTCGCGTGCGTATACTTCTGGATATATTTCTTTTTTTATTCTTATGTCTGATAGCGCATAATAACGGAATTGGAAGTTCATTGTCGACGCGTTAAAGCGTGAATTATTATTACTTGTCGAAGATTCGATTTTAATCGTGGACGGTGCATTGTTGTCAGTGAAAAAGTGTATCGATAATTTACAAAAGAAGGAATAGGGAGGGGGGGGGGAGAGCTGTGAGTGCGCTTAACTTAATTTTCTTCACAGCGAACAGTGTTAATGCATCGATCAAAGTTTGCTTTTGTGCATTTCTAATTTGATATTTCGAAAGGGAGAGAGAGAGAGAGAGTCGTTGTTGCAGAAAACGAGAGATATGTATTATTGTTTAACGTATCTTAATTTTTTCTTTTTTTATTTTTACGAAGATAATTCGTAACTTTTATTCTTCTGTTTAACGATGATTCGAGTAATATTAAATCGATAATAATTTTCACGATTGATTAACACGAAACGATCGCATATTAATGATTAATTATATCAATATTAGTATTTAAATAAATTAAAGTATCAAGATCGACGTAATGAAATTACGAATTATCGTTATGAAATTTTTACTCTTCCTCGTTATTTTTATTTTACATCCGTTACCAAATATCTATCTGACAATCAATTAATCAATCCATGGTAATATCAATAATATCTTAAAATAACCAGACTCGATAAAGACCCAGCAAATATTTTCACCCCAATGCAAGATTCGTGAAATTATTAACAAACGATCGAAAAATTAATATTATCAAAACGAATCGAACGAATCATCGATCGAACGAATTTTGAATATTTTGAAGAAACGAATATCTCCCCAAAAACTCATCGTCCCCAAATTTTTTCGCGACGAAAAAATGAAATAACTTAAGAGACTACGCATCTAAATTCGTCGATGCAATATTCATTCGTACGAACAATCCCCCCGTTGAAACGAACCTTCGAGAAGTTCTCGGTCTCGGTATTTCGGGCTGAATCCCTGTATTGTGCTCTCTAATCAACCGGCGCAACGAGATCCACACAGCTTTCCACGCGCCATCGATCGTGGGATCCTTAGATTTCGCGGTCGATTTCCCCCGCCCGCCCGATCCGATCTAAAACTGGAAGAGAATCCCAGCGTTTCGACGTCCTCCTCGGCGAGGTGGCAGAGAATAGAACAGAGACAACAAGAGATTCGAAAACGAAACGAAAACTGGCTTCTCACGCGAGTTGTACGATTCGTGTTCCTTGATGCGTTTAAAAGATCTTTGATTCTTTGATCTGAAACAGCGATTTCACCGAGATCAGTTCGATCGATCTTGATGGTCGTCGTGGTTTCCATTCAGGCAATTGTAAAAAAGGGATTAGTGGAAATTTTTGTAACAGTGATTTACAGATGATTGGGATTGTTTTTAATTTAAAGAATATAGGTTTAATTTATATTTTCGGTGAAATGATAATTTCTTTTTGGTCGTCATATTATTATTGAAGCGTCGTGAAAAATGTTAATTCAGAAATGGTGAATCGTTTTTTTATTTAAAAAATTTTTATTTAAAAAATAGATATATGTCAAAAATAAATTTGGTGAAATATTAATTTATTTTAAATCTGTAGAATTAATATCGTCGAAAGATAGAAAGTGCAATTTTTTACGATATAAGCTATTGTTTTGTAGGAGATTTAGGATTCGTGAAAAAAAAGTAACGTCCAGTGTATCTTTCGTTATTGTAATTGGAAAGAAGGGGCAATTAATGGACAGTTAATGGATTAATTGCAAAAAACATTTTTGCTCTTTTTCGTACGAAATTTTATTATAAAAATAATATAATATTCGTTTTATTTTTCGATAATCCGAATTCGAGTCAATATCGCGCTATTTTATTTTCTACAATTTAATTTTTCGAAGGATTATCGATGAATTCTTGCTTTTTATAATCTTGATAGATTTTTTTATATTTCTTTTTTCTTTTTTTTATAAATTGAAATATAGGTTTGCTTCGTTTTTTTAGTTTCGAAACTCGCGATCCATGTTGAAATTGAAATGTTTGCTTGGAAATATAAATTGAAGTTATTGACAGTTCGAGGGTTTTGATTAACACTGAGCTATAATCAAATATGAGGTTTTCACACTAGTTTTAGTTTTAGAAACGATGCTTGAATTATTTGTTACGTGTTACGTTATCGTGTTACGTGTGATATATTTAATATTTCGTTTTAAATATTATATTTTTTTCATCCTTTCTCCTCTATAAAAATATCCAGAATTTTAAAAAAAAAAATTGTACAGTATTATTACATTCATAGCAGATTTTAATTCTTCAAAATTAATTCTACACTCAAACAATTTTTCCTTTTTTCACAATAAAAAGAATAAAAAGAGAAATATCGATATATTAAGATTTCCTTTGGAATATATGTATATTTTTTTTTATAAAAATAAATCACTTTTCGTATGTCAAAAAGCTTCGCAATATTCCATTGATAAAAATATTTCGTAGTTCCATTTGTTCTTTCTTAAATCTATAATTAAAAGTTTCTGTGTTTACTTTTCCCTATTTTTCATTCCTATAATTATTTACCTCGCGTCCCGTAAATTTTTCTTATCGCCTTATTTACGTTAAAAACATTCTACATCTAAAGAAACAGGAAGAAAGTTTTTTTTTTTAATTTAAAATATAATTTAAAAATCTTCCCCTATTTTAAACCCTATCTTCAAGGTAAAAGAAATATTTAGTAACACATAAAAAGTTATATATCCATTTTATTCTAAACTCTCCTTAAATTTGAATCATCTTCAATCAAAAAGATAAATGACCATTTGTCGAATCGAATTTCTAATTTTCATAAAAATAGTTTCATCCTTAAATAGATAACAAAACGAATCTAAAATTTCTCCAACTTCTCGTCGAATCAAAAACACTTTTCCATCCCGAATTTTCCCGAATTTCAACCGAATTAATCAGCCACGATAATTACACCCCGATAAATATTCGCATTTGATTCCCGTTCAATTAGGGAATGCGTATATCCTGTAATTACAACCCATCCAATAGTTGAGCAATTTTTATCCCCATCTTTTCTCGTCGAGCAACAAAACAAAACAAAACAAAACAAAAGAAACTAGGGAGAATTTCACGCGAAACGAAAAACGGAAGCGTCGCCGCCGCGGAATAATTCGGTCACGTTCCTCCACGGTCGTTTGTGTGCACATATTTGTCGACAAAAATCGTGAACCGCTCGTCGTCAACCGTTGAAGGATGCATTGTATCGCGTGCAATGTAAATTTAGCGATACCGAGATTTTCCCCTGTCTCCTCGAATACCGAAAATATCCCTAGGATAGTTGCGTAACGAAGAAGATGACTGTTGCGCGCGAGAATCGTGACAATCCCTTGTTATATACGATGTTAATACGTTGTACGCGTGTATATATTTATATATTTACATCAATGTCTTTCTACTTTGCAATTGGGCTATATATATCCATATGGAAATATTTCAGAGATCTGTGCACACATTAGGATTCTGAGAGATTCTAGGAATTTTTTTTTTTTGTGCTCGAGGATATCCTGGAAGTTACTTTGCAAAACGATGAGAAAATTTTATCGATACTGTATTTTTCTGAGTTTAAATGTTGTTCAATATTCATGCTGATATTATTATTCGGTATTTTCGCGATGCACTTTATATTGCTAAATATTTTCTATTTTATACGTTTTGATCGTTTTTAGTAATTTTGTCGCCAAAATTCGTTTTATTAAATTTTTATATATATATATATCTTATTGTTCTATTGTTCTTTATGGTTTTTTTTTTTTATTATTGGAATTAATGTCTTTGGATTAATCTTTTATTTCTAAAATATTTTACTCGATATTTCTAAATTATCCTTTTTATTGTTACATATCTTTAAACTCTATGGAATTTCTATTATTATTGAAGTTTCTTTTTAAGTATCTATAATCCAAATATCCGATCACATTTTCTTTTATTATATTAATAATTAATTAATATAGGCGCGATTAGAAGAAACTTAAGAACATTCAAATAATTCATTGTATCAATTATTCGATCGAAAAACCTTGGCTTTCTTAATCTTTCTAAACCCTTAAATTCTTTCGTTATATATTCACGAAATGGAGGCACAAAAAAACGATCGCACAACCTTTCATTTCTCCATTTCTCTATTCCATTCCTTTTCCGTTTTAAAACGTCAGAAGCAACAATATTTTGAAACGTTATCGCTTATTACGATAAAACACTGAATTCTGATTGGATCCCATTGGACAGATTTTAATTTCTATTTCCCTTTTTCTTTTATTATATTTCCTCGTATTTCCCCCCCTCCCTGTCTCCCTTCTTTTTAGAGAACTTCCTCCCGCGTTTCTTTCCTCGCTAATCCGCTTGGAAGAAAACAATTTCCCGACAAAAGGTTTATGATAAAAGTGAAGTAAAATTTTTCAAATTAGAGAATATTGCATCTCTTTCCTTAAATGTTCGTGTTCCTTCTTTAAAGAATTCGTATTTCTTAAGATTTGCCTAATTTTAGAGCAAATGAATGAAATGTTCAAATTATTCTATCCATTTTTTTTTTTTTTTTTTTTTTTTTGATTGATAAAATCGTACAACGAGTGAATGGAAATTTTTAATTTTCCCTTACGCAAAAATAATATAAAATTCTATGGATTAATCGCGTAAAATATTTAATAATAAGATTGCAATAAATAATAAAAGTAAGTTATTTGTCACGTGACAATATATACTTATTTTATTGATCTACGAAAAAATATCTAATTCTAATAAGATTCGAACAAATAAAAATTTGTTGTTTACGAACGTGTTGATTAAAATTTCTATCTAGTTCAAAGAAGAAACTTTTGGAACTTAAAAAAAAAAAAAATACGAACTCGCACAGTGTTCACTCGCAACAGTACGCGAATACTTGGTGGAAATTAAATTGCTGCGTGAAA